CATATTTTTACCCAAATATGATAAGGATTTATACATTTTACGATCAGTTAAAAATTAAGGGGGGGAAACAGTTTTTTTTAATATTGATTACAGATCTTTTCATTGAATTCTTTCTTCCCTTTAAAGTATTAGACTCTTACAAGTCCTCCTTAAAGAAAACGAATGACTTACTTAATGACCAGATAGAAGGAAATTTCTGGAAAGAGGAGGTCGGTAATTTCCTTCCAGAGCAAAAGCATTCGTGAAGTAATCTCGTACTAAAGCTGAAACCTAAAGCCTCCTCGAAATTTCTTCCACGTCCTCGGCAGGCGTAAAAGCCAGACGCTAATTAAAAGCCCTTAAGCTTCTTTATATTGCTTAGTTACTCGAAGGCACTTCTGGGGCTTATTGTATCCTTAAAAAAGAAAATAAATAGACCTAGAAAGGATATCAGCAAGGAAAAGAAAGGTTTTTCAAATATCACGGGAATGGTTTTGTATAATTAGATAACAGATAATCTCCTAAAGATTATTTGTTCTCAAGAAACCTTTCAAAGTTGAAAGGAAACTCGAAAGGAGTGGATTGTCGCAAAATAAATGTAGGTTCATCGAAAAAGAATGATGAGACTTTCGAAGAAGTATACAGCATTCAGCATAAAATCTTTCAAAATTGGAAATGGAAATGAAGAAAAGAGAGATTCAAAATGCGCTACTGCAGTGTTGATGAAACAAAAGAAAATGGAGTATGGTGTGCAACTTGTCATCGAAGGTATTGAAATGCTTATTAATCATTATGTTCACGAGATCACATATCAATAAAGACGTTATCATATAACACAAACATAGTATCTGTACTGTAGCTGAACGGTTAAAAATCTTTCCGTCTAAAACTGAACTTAAACAAAGCTCTTTTCATTTCTTGAGATACTGTTAAGATTTCCAACTGGATCGCGTTTGAGAAATAAGAAAATGTTCGGACTTTCTCTTAAAAGATTTCAATTTCGTGTGTATCAAATGAAAACCTGTAGGATGTCCTGACAAGAATCGCCTCGAAAATTTTCACGAGTGTTTCAGCAGGAAGAGAAGACTAGAGTCACCATTGTTTGAAACTAGAGTCACCATTGTTTATGACAGGAATAACCACTAACTGTATTTGAGTTTCTAACTGTACAGCCTTTTTCAGTATTTAAGCAGCTCCGCCTAATTTTCATAGGGAAATCTCTGAAGACTTATCAAAATGTCTCAAACACCTGTTTCCCTACTACCAAACCACTCGACAGGATTTTCGATTCGGCAGTGCTCTCTTACAGCACAGACATTACATGTACAAAAATCTATGTTTTCTCCGGAATTCAAATCCGTGCCCCCAAACACGATAGTTAGCATCTCTAACCACTGTACCCCAATCAGGGCGGCGGGGTTAGTTAGCAGGTCCAGGTTCATGTGAGCAGGACATTAGAATTTCACTGTTGGTCAAACAAGTATTGTATCACCACACTAGATGAGAAATTCCATGCCAATTCTAATCGAGAACAAACACCCCGAGGATGGTCCAAGCTCTCCCACCCCTCCTATCCTACCGCTAACTATTAAAGAGAACTTTCGGCTAGCCAGTATTTTAAGTGCCCTCCATTCCTTACAGAAACTGTACACATACAGACATTCATGTGTTTTCCTGGATTCGAACCCCAATCCAACGGCACAGCAGCCAACGTCGCTAACAACTACACCAATCAAGGAGGCGGGATGATGCAGCATGCGAATTCACCTAAAAAATTGCAAAGTGTGGCATTTCGTAAAATCCGAAGCTCCCAGAACAGGGCGTATTGGCTCACGCTCTTCACTGTTTGCAGTCATCAGTTAGTAAACATTAGGTATCCGTGATATTTGAGGCATTTTATAATGAATGGATGAAAATGTCCCCATTACAAAGTTGTGCTTGTCGTATTCATACATTATTTAGGGGCATAGTTATGTTCTGGCTGCACGGTAACCAGGTAATGTGGTGGTTAGGCAGGCTGCTAGCAAAGCTGATGTGTTCACAACAAATATATATAGTCGGCGTAGACAGGTTGCAGGGAACAGAGGATACGGACATCCAGGTGGCTTACTAGGATTATTCAGGTATCGTTCGGAATCGGCAACTGTCCAACGCGAGAACTCTTTCGCGCCGTTACATATGGCACAAACATTAAAATTTTGGTCCGGAACGGAAGAGGCCTTTGAGGACGTGTGGAAAACAGGCGCTGGTTCTAAAATTGCGATAGTTGATTCTTTCAATATTTCATTAAATGGCAGTAGTGAATTGCACGTCTCTTGTTACGCGACACCGTATACATATTCTAGGCGTTTTTTCATGTTGTGTACCTGAAGAGACGTGCGAAAATGCCGTTTCTTCTTTATTTCGTGCTGATTTCTATTTATAGGCAATTACGGGCAATGTCTGTTGCTGCGACAGGACTATAAGGTATTTCTCCCGCCTTCTTAGCGTGCCTTCGTTGTGTAGTAGTCTTCAAGCAGGGTGAGTATTCCAGAGGTCAGTGGTTCGATTCCCGGCGAAAGCGTTGCTCATTTTTCAGCTCTCCTGCTTCCAATTAACCTAATGTCTTGACAGGAAAAACAACTTCTTGTGAAAAGCGCTGTTAATGTACTTTGGAGCCATGCCGTCGGTAGTGTTGTGGAGTATAATGTATTTATTTCTGCACAGTATCATTTGTTAATGGTTGAACATACTCGTACTCTATGCCACACAATTCAAGCAATAGTCACTGTTTTACGACACACGTTCGTTTTGTCAAAAATGCTCCTTATCGCATATGGTATACGGTCTTGCAACTCACACACACACACGCGCATATATAAACATATATATATATATATATATAATGTTATATTTGGCCTGACTAGAATTGCCGGTTTGGCTTTAACTTAACTCGAGTAAAGACGAAACACTTTCGTATTACGTTTTTATCAATTTATTGTTCATTGAACGGGAGTTGGTTTGTTCCCCTTGAAAAGTCAACTAATTTCCGATCAATGACAATGATTACATGTTTAATTTTTCCTTTTACAATTGAAATTTTATTCTTCATGATGATTTAACTCCAGTCCCGTTTTAAAACATTATAACATTTTGCTTTCAATTACTTCAAAAATCATCTTTCAAAATATAACTTACCGGTATGGATTCACACTTTTAAAATAATTCTACTTTAATTAAACTTAGGAGATAATATAATCAATTAATCAATACTGTTTAAGAAATAAATTATATATACATATATATATATAATAAATTCAGGAGCAGAAGCAATAACCAGCAGGAAATTTGAATGGTGCAGAGGCGTTGAACATAAATGACTAGGAAATTGGAGGCGAATGCAGATTAAATCTTCAGTTTTATTTTCACCAACATGTAGCGGCTACACACAAGTCAGCACATTAAATGTGCCTGTTCCACAAGGCTTACATTTTTGATAATTTTGTAGCAAGAGAGCAGAGCAAATAGAAAGCAGAGTAGCTAGGTCAAAGCGCGGAAAGCAAGTGCGGTACGTTCAGGATGAAATCTGAAGTCAAACTGGGTTAGTTTTGGTTTTCAAAGCATTTTGATTGGATAGTTAATATTGCTGTAAAATTACTATTGGCTGGTTGAGTTTTAGTTCCGTTTACATCATCAGAATTGAGTCATATGATATATATTTTTTTCGAAATGACGCAGTGCAGAGAGGGGTTACTATTTTTAGAATAGAGAATGGGAATTTACGTTGCTAATTTAATCTTTAACATATTATTTGTTTTTCTTACATATAGTACATATATATGATACTATTTGCCACTTCGCGCCCGTTTTATATTCTCTGATCTCGGTTTTCCGGGTACTGTGGAATGCCACAGTTTACACTTAATATTCTGTTCACCTGCATAATATCTCGTGAACGTTTTGTGGAAATGTTCAGGGTTTCTTGACTGCCCTGAACTATCAAAACTATCTTTTTAAATGAGCTATCTTCTTGACTTGAATTCTGAACTGAACTATCATCTTCACTGCTCTAAACGATCTGGCCTTCTTGACTGCCTGTATACGGCAGAATATCTTGAGTGCCCTGAACTTCTTGACTGACGTTAAGAAGCCCAAAAGTTTTCCTTGTCAGAAGAAAATTTCACTAACTGGGAGATCAAGTGATGGGTTCAAGCCATGACGAGTTCAACAGGAGGAGATCACGTCCGGAAAAAATATCCCATTACAGTATGTGAAGAGTATCTTATTGTGTAGCTCGCAGCTAGTTTGCAACAGCATTTCTTTGGATTATTGCAACAGCACGGTAATAGCGACCGCAAATGATATTAACGAGAAAAGGGAAATAAAAAGGGCTTTCATCTTTGTTATTTATCTTTCATAAGTGGAGAAGTATTTTATGAACCATGTTTGGTAAGTTATTAAATGCATCGGAAAAATTACGAAATTAAATTGTATCGAAGTATGAAGGCCGTGTTTTATTCTAATTACCGTACGATGTACTTTGGAAAACTATTATGTTCCATAACACGTTTCTTTGAATTCTGGTGTCATAATTACGATAACAGCTGCAAGACGTATCTAGCGACAATGAGTCTATTAAGTACAACGCGCTCTTGCCATATTTGAACAAAAAAAAAATTTGACAGGTGTCCATAACAGCCTTAAAATTAGCTTTAGCAATTTCGTGGCAGTTCTTAAAATTTATGGCTTCTAGTAATACTAGACAAGACCATAGTTGATATCTAGAACATTGGCAGAACTCTACGTTCCAAATATTGGAGAGTTCTTATTAATGTTTTAAGCAACCCTGTTGATTAAAACTTAAATTATTTACCACTTTTCAAAATTTGAATAATTAAAATGGCTTTAATATCTTTGAAGTCACAATGTTTTATAACGATGTCATCTTAATTATCACGCACTATTTGTTTAGGATTGCAGTATTTCGATTATGAATTTCATGGCATCCTTTTAATGATCATGCACTATTTGTTTAGGATTACAGTACTGCGACTATGGATTGAGATTATTTTCAAGTATTTGATTACCTCTATGCGATATTTAGAAAGTGTCGGTCTGATAACTGATGGAACTGGCAATATGGGTCCTCGATCAGGTCTCCAGACATTTTCTTTCGGCCGAGGCAATTCAAGAATGGCTCCTTTCTCGTCTGATTCGGACAACTGAAAACGAAAATAAAAATATTTTTTAGCACAGAAAAAACAAATTCTCAGTTTTCAGCAGCAAAATTTAATACTCCCGCCCACAAAAAACGAAAGGGAAAAAAAAAAAAAAAAAAAAAAAAAAATCCGAAAGGAGTCAGATTTTAATGTCTCAGCAGGGGATTTAAGGCGTTTTTATGCTCTTTCTGGGCATCTCAAGTTACCAGTCTGCTCTTGGGCTCACTCCAGCTATTATAACTTTTTTTTTGCCTTTTCAGCTTTATCATTAAGCATCACTTTTTTTACTTTAGAATTCCCAATAGAGTGTTAGGGATCACCATACAATTTTTTTATACTCTCTATAATATTTCTTTGAAAACTAGACGCTCCAGTGACCAGCCATCTGAAAGAGTTATAATAAAAAATGTATATTATGATTTTAAAGAGTCCAACTATTATCATTTCATAAAACTATTTAATATTTCTAATTAGATATCTGACGCATTTTTATTTTAACTAATCCGATTAAAAAGAAGTTATTAAAAACTGTTACTTTTATTACTTTTCAGACACTTGAAATGCGAAAAACTGAAAAGTTTAAATTTGAAAGTAAATACCGTATTTGACGGCATATAAGGCGCACTGGCATATAAGACGCACCCTTATTTAGAAGGCCACACACAAGGAAAAAAAGGTTGAATAGTCCACAATAACTTAAAATGTGGTTTCTTTTAGTTCTAACGTTTCGTTAAAGCCAAATAAACAATCATTGAATGCAATTACGAAACATATTTTTATTAAGGAAAATTAACAAACGGCAAGCTATTTTGAACATATGTAAATTTCAATGATGAATAAATGAATGAACGGCAAGCAATCAAGCATAATACAAAAAAAAAAAAAAAAAATCCAAAAAAAAAAAAAAAAAAAAAAAAAAACACAGATTCAAAACGAGAATATCGTCATCACTACTGTTTCCGTCACCGCTAGTATCACCTTCTTCGAATAATGCGCCGTCTTCTGTTCCGTCAAGAGTATTGCAGATTCCGTTCTTCTTAAAGGACTTAACAATTACTTCAGCCTTTCCGTCCTCCAAAGAATTTTTTACCCGCTCGCATACTTGTGAAATAGAGGGCCGCTTCATTCTACCTGAGGGTGTGAGGGCGTAATCTGGCTCTCCTATCCACTTGTTCCATCGTTCTCGCACTTTTTCCTTAAATGGCTTATTCACCGATACATCTAAAGGCTGCAGTTGGCTAGTCAGTCCGCCAGGAATGACAGCTATCTGGGTTTTTAATTCTCTCGCTTTATTCTTTATGGTTTCAGTTCTATGAGTGCTAAACTGATCCAAAACCTAAAAGAGAGGGTTTTCTTAAGAGTCCACCAGGTCGCCTCGCCCATATGTTCTGTAACCACAGTTTCATTCCAGCTTCGTCCATCTAACCCTTTCGGATGAACATGAACAATTACACCCGTGGAAGTTTTTATTTCGGATGAGTTTTCTTTTGAATATGAAAAACGGCGGTAGTTTGTGCCATCAGCACAACATGTTAGAACTACCGTATATCGGGTTTTTTCATGACCTGTGGTTTTTATGGTTATTGATTTAGACCCTTTAATGCTCACAGTCTTGTTGGATGGTACATCAAATGTGAGTGGAATTTCATCCATATTTCCTATTTGACCGACCTCAAAAGAAGTTTTCTTGCGTGCAATTATAACAAATCTATGAAATGCCAGTATTTTTTCTTCATAATCTGCTGGCATTTTCTGTGCAATAGTTGTTTTTGTGCGTATTGATACGCCTTGCCTTTTCATAAACCTGTAGTACCAGCCCTCAGACTCTGAAAAGTTCTGATTCCCGTCTTTTTCTGAAAATCCTTTGGCCTCATTGATTATGATTTTAGTTGAAACACATATCCCAGATTTCCTCTTATCTATCACCCACATTTTCAAGTTCAAACCAAGATGGAGCTGGGCATCTAAGGTTATGTTTTTGTTTTTTAGCAGTCTTCAGTTGATCTTTCTGCAGCGCCAATCGACATTTTTTGTTGCGAAGGCTGCGCGCCGTCCATGACTGCGGTTAACATCTGTTACATAATGTTAGCTATCTTGTTCTGTTAAGGCAGGTTTTTTAAACAATTTTGGTGGTGTGCTTAATGCATGATATAATTAAAGAAAATAAGAGTAGACAATCTCCTATAACAAAAGAATATATTAAGTACTAAATTACAATTTAAATTACATTGCAGAGATCAACACAGAGCTCGGAACACAGTTCATGCTACCGTCGCGTACAGTTGTCCGACGAGAAGTCTGAGTGAGTAATGATGTCGCTTTGCTGCTCCGATTAAGAACTGGATTTTACACGTGGCGCCATCTCATGAATAGAAGTTGAAGTATCTGTCGGAACGCCACAGTACTCCCCCCCCAAGTACCATCGGTACGTTATAAGTACTTTGGGTTAAATTTAACCTTTCTTCCAGATCTGGTAGTTTTAGGTTGCTCTTTAACGGGATGTAAGCTTTCTTCCGGGAGTGATGTTGATGAGGAAGTTGTTGGATCTTGCATTAGAAATGCTGGTTTGAGACGATCGATTCCAATCACTGATTGTTTGCCATTGCAGATGATGGTGAAATGTTTCGGTGTTCGTTTGACAACTTTGAATGGACCATCATATGAAGGTGTTAAAGTTGGCTTAATTGCATCGTTGCGCACGAATACGTGCGAAGATGTCTCAAGCGCAGGATGTACAAAATAGCTTGGCTGGTTATGCGAAGATGCTGGGGTTGGCGAGATCTTGCTCATGGTCTCACGTAAACGTTGAAGGAATGAAGGTGAAGGAATGTTGGAGGGTCGATAACTGGAGTAGATTCTGGGTGAAAGAATTCACCTGGCAGACGGAGGGTTGCACCATATAACATTTCAGCACAAGTGCTACCAATGTCTTCTTTGAATGCTGTGCGAAGACCAAGCAAGACTAGGGGTAAGGCTTCTGTCCAGTGTGTGCTACTGTGGCACTTCAGACCTTGTTTGAGAGATCGGTGAAAGCGTTCCACCATCCCATTTCCAGATGGATGGTATGGTGTTGTGCGAATATGGCGAATGCCAAGAAGAGAGGTGAGGGATGCGAACAAGTGACATTGAAATTGTCGGCCTTGGTCAGTAGTGATGGTGGTAGGCATGCCAAATCTTGAAAGCCACTGGGAGATGAATGCTCGAGCTACAGTTTCAGCGGATATATTTTCAATAGGAATGGCTTCAGGCCATCTTGTGTACCGATCAATACAAGTGAGGAGGTAAGTGTAACCATTTGAAGGAGGCAATGGGCCAACCAAGTCTAAGTGCACATGATCAAAGCGTCTTGCTGGAAGGTTAAATTGTTGAATGGGGCTGTGAGTGTGACGGGATACTTTACACCGTTGACATCTAATACATGAACGAGTCCATTCTGTGATGTCTTGATTCATTGCTGGCCAGACAAATCTGTCTGCGATCAGCTTTTTGGTGGCACGGATTCCAGGATGTGCCAAATTGTGCAAGGCATTAAACACTTCACGTCTAAAATTGACAGGAATATAGGGACGTATTCTATTGTTCTCTATGTCACAGTAAATTTTAAGCGTTGGATCAATGTGCAGCGGTTGTAACTGAAGGGAGGTTTGTGGATTTGAGATTAGGTTCTTGAGTTCCTCATCATGCAATTGAGCTTTTGCAATTTCAGAGAAATCTGGGGTAGTGAGGTTGATATTGTTTACCCGAGACAAGGCATCAGCGACACAATTATCAGTACCAGAGACATATCTGATATCTGTACTAAACTGGGCGATGAAATCCAGATGTCGAAGCTGACGAGGAGAACATGAGTCAGAGTTTTTTCTAAAAGCGAAGGTTAATGGTCGATGATCGGTGAAAATGATGAAGTCGTGTCCTTCCAAGTTGTGCCGGAAGTATTTAACAGCACAGTACACAGCAAGTAGCTCCCTGTCATATGTGCTGTATTTCCTTTCTGCAGTAGTAGTAGTTTTCTGGAGAAGAATGCCATTGGGGAAAGTCCTTTAGTGGTATGGGCTTGAAGCACTGCTCCTATGGCCGTGTCAGATGCATCTACCATTATAGAGAGCTGATCACTAGGTGAGTGATAAGAAAGTGTGGCTGCATTTGCCAGATCGTGTTTGCATTGCACGAATGCTGCAGATGCAGATTCAGTCCAAGGGACAGCTCGTTGATCGTTTTTTTTTTTTTGCTATTCTTCAGAAACTCATGTAGGCAGGCTTGTGTTTTTGCGGCATTTGGCAGAAAGCGTCGGTCGGTAGAAATTTAACATTGCTAGAAAACGCTTCAGTTCAGAGATGGTTTTGGGCTGAGGTAGGTCGTTAATTGCTTTGACTCTTTCCGGTAAAGGTTTGACTCCATTCTGGGTGATAAGACATCCAAGAAAGGAAACTGAGGGTTGACCAAGTACACATTTGGATGGATTTAGTTTTAATCCATGATCTTTAAGGCGAGTGAAAATCTGACGCAGATGTTGAAAATGTTCTTCCGCATCTGTAGATGCAACCAGGATATCATCAAAATATGGGATGCAGAAATCGAGGCCAGACAGTACTTGGTGTATGAAACGCTGAAATGTTTGGCCAGCATTGCGAAGGCCAAATGGCATATATAAGTACTCAAAGAGACCAAATGGTGTAGTCACTGCGGTCTTGGGCACATCTTCAGCATGCACTGGGATCTGATGATATGCTCTGGCAAGATCGAGGGTAGAAAATATGTTTGTTCCATGAAAAAGATGGGTACAGTCTTGGATATGTGGGACTGGATATCTGTCAGGGACTGTGACGGCATTAAGTCGACGATAATCTCCACAAGGCCGCCAGTCACCATTAGACTTTTTAACCATGTGAAGTGGGGCCCATGGATTTTATGTATTGGGAGACGCGAAAGCCATGTGACTTCAACAACGTCATAAAATGGCTTCTGCCAGATCACAGCATTGACAGCAAGTATGAAGGTCGCTT